CCACTGCGGGACCGTGAAGCACGGAGGAAGCTATCCTGCCGTTCTCGTTCGGCCACTGAACAACAACAGCACTTTCATAGAAACAGTACAAATTTTCACGTTTGCGTTGATCCCGAAATATTGGTGTGATATCCTGGGAAAATTCCGGATTTCCCTTCAATGTTCATTGCTTACTTTCTTGGCGCCTTTATAACAGAAAGATTTGTGAAAATTCGGTCGGTACAGCCCAGACAACCATCAAGTAGGGGTAAAATCCGGAAAAATTTTTTCACAAAGCAAGCATTTCCCAAAAAAAACCACCGGACTTCATGCAAAAAACCGGTAATCATGATGCATCTGGATGTCCGTGCGTCTCTATAATGCACCACCATCCCAACTGATGCCCTTCCTCTTGCATGCCAGAAAGGATCAAAGCGCGGCCAGTTTTAGCCCAAGCGTTAGGCTACAGCGTAGGGATCATTCATGCTAATAGCGATCTGCGAGTTTAGTGCAAAAACGCATGATCGCACCGGGGAGCCTGGTGCGTTCCTGCCTGGGTTTGAACTGGAAATTTGTATTTTTTCGAAAAATTTGCATTCTTCATTTTTTCAAAAGCGAGCTTTTTCCGATATGATCGAGCTTCATGCAGAAAACCGATAATCATGTACCTGGAGGTCCTTGTGGCTCTATAGTTCACCACTTTCATCCCAATCGACGCCTTTCCTCTTGCAAGCTGGAAAGGGCCAAAACTTAACCAATAAGAGCCCAAGTTTTAGGCTACAACGCAGGAATCATTCCTGCTATTAGCAATACGCGAGTTTAGTACAAAAACGCGTGACCGCACCGACAAGCCTGATGCGCTTCAGCCTTATTAATGCAGGAACATCCGGAATCTCCTACAGTTTCGAAACAGGAACAAGTTTTGCCGGAAACGAATGGATAAGGGGCAAAAGACGGATAGTGGAGCGACTATAGAAGGATAAAAAAACTCTTCTTTTTTTTAACTCTCTTAGCGCCTAATTTTCCTTACTATTTCTTCCCTTCCGGCTTTTAGCGCTTTATTTACCGTGATGTTTTGGCGTATAATGAAACGTTGGTAACGATGGATTTTTCTATTTTGAGGGCAGTGTGGATCTTGTTGGGCATTCTCAACAGTAG